CACTGTCCCAATGAATTTGCACTTTTTTCCACTTTAGTGATTGCTGTCTAATAAAAATGATGCTTTATTGGCTCGATATTTATCAGGGTATGACGTTTTCCTTGGAAACTTCCGTGGATTGGTATCCAGGGAACATGTTGACAAGAACATATCTTCCCGCCAGTGAGTGGTTTAAACTCATATCTTTTTGTTGGTTGATTTATTCCTTTAGGCTATGTGTGAACCAAATATATGTCTCCCCGAATTCCCTTTCCTTTTGGATTTCTCATCTATCTTTCTTGTAATCACTTTCTCTATCATTTTCCTGGTTCCAAAAACACCCTTAAGGTATTGAGCACATGCAGGTACTGGCATTATTCCATTAATGAGCATGGGATACAGGACATACCTGCAATGATAGAGAAGATCCACGAAATCAAAGTCTCAGAATTGAAATCCAGCCAACAGGATTTGGATCAAGGGACCAATATAGTTCAACCTTACAGACTTTGTGCAGTTTGCCATAGTTTGGGTGGGGCCGGCATACTAATGTATGTCATAACACGAAGGATTGAAGGAAAGCCCCACAGGTTGTCAAGATTGATCTTACTTTCACCTGCGGGTTTCCATCACGATTCCAACCCGGCTTTCACGTTAATGGAATATTCATTCCTCATCCTAGCTCCAATCCTCAAACCATTTGTACCGGCCTTCTACATCCCCACGAAGTTCTTCCGCATGATGCTCAACAAGTTGGCCCGCGATTTACATAACTTACCAGCGGTCGGAGGTTTAGTTCAAACCCTAGTTAGTTACGTGGTTGGAGGGGACAGCTCAAACTGGATCGGCGTTCTAGGGTTACCACACTATAACATGAACGACATGCCGGGGGTCGCGTTCTTTGTAGCTCAACATCTTGCCCAAATCAAGCACTCGAAGAAGTTTGCCATGTTCGACTATGGGAATGCACATGAAAACATGCTAGCATACTACGGCTCGCCACAGCCATTGGATCTGGGGGAGCATTATGGCCTCATTGATATTCCCGTTGATCTTGTTGCGGGTAGGAAAGATAAGGTTATTCGGTCGTCTATGATCAAGAAGCATTATGAGTTAATGAGGGAAGGAGGTGTAGATGTGTCGTATAATGAGTTCGAATACGCACACTTGGATTTCACATTCTCTCACCGGGAAGAACTCTTGGCATATGTGATGTCCCGTTTGATGTTAGTTGATTCCTCGCCTACTCAGCAGTCTCCTACAAAATCAATTAAATATAAAAAGAACCACAGGGAGGTGTGCAAGTAGCAACTGTTGCAACAAACGCCTGAAAATCGCCTCTGAGCTTTTATTTCGGTTAGTGTCTTTCGGGTTGTTTGTCGTTCATCATGTACATGTGTACCTGTATGTAGGTCTTGTACTACTGCTAGTGCTGTACACTTAAATAGTGCGCATCTGTGCTCCATAATATCTACTGTATTCTGTCCCATGTCCAGTTGAGTTTCATCATAAGGTATGTGTACATATATACTCTGCAGCATCTTAGATTTTTTAGGAATTTTCATCTTCAGAAACATTGTATAAACGACACCCTATATTGCAACGCGTTTTTGCTGGGTTATTTACATTTAATTTGTGTTGACGCGTTTTTTTGGCGAGCCTTGTTTTTTCCTGGTATTCAAGACGGGTTAATGCAAGAACTACAAATAAAGGACCGAGATCTCCTATGAAATACAAAGTACGGAGTATAAAAGATTGTCCATACATAGCATAGTCCAAGCAAACCCAATGAGATCTATATCCAGAGTTCCACCTTTACTCTTCTTCATCGATTAAAGTCAGATTCTCTAGTTCTTACTGATTTGACTTGGATTTGACTTGGATCGGAGTTTAACAAAGTGAGGATAAAGTATATATGTAAGGTTGTGGTTGGGTAAGAAAAAGGTAAATAGATGTTAGCCACTCAAAACTCTCCAAAGAGGGAAATGAGAAGAATTTTTTAAGACAGGATGAGACTGAGGGAGACTCATTCATTTTCTCTTGAGTCCTCTTTATTGAGGCTTCCAAGTTCCAACTTATTCATTCATCTGCTTCATCCATAATTCTAATACGTGTTTGACTTTTTAGATTGATTTTAGTTGTTTCTTTCAAAAAAAAAAAAACATTGATTTTAGTTGTTTATTGTTATCTTTAAAATCATTCTACTTAAACTGGATTTTTTAATTGTGTTCGTTGGGTTCGCTTGGACTATCATGCTTTGTATGGATGATCTTTTATACTACGTATGTCATAGGAGATCTTGGATGATCTCTTATGTCTGTTAAGGGGTGTCCTCAATTTAGTCTATTTAGATTTTTAAAAATTCAGAATTTCATGAAATCTAGATGTCCTAAAATAAATTGTTGTGTTGTAAATTCCTTTAAAATTCCTTTAATTCTATGGGCTTTCATTTTATTTAATTTGGATGGATTTGGATGGAATAGGATTAAAAGAATATGCTTAATCCGTTCCACACATATAATAGATGATGGTAAACTTTGCCCAATCATTTTAGTATCTATAGTATTTATCATAGTCAACATTATAAATTTTATACTTTTATGATAAAAAATTTAACAAAAAATATTTACATACTATTGTCATAGTATAAATATTTTCATATATGATCGATCAATGTCTAGAACATTGTAAAATCAAGATGATTAATTAAAAGAGACGCACGGAATATTATTTGTGGAGGAGGGATAGATTGATGGAGAACAAGCGGAGTAGTTTCAATTTGGACCTGACAGATTTGTCAGCAATGGGTGCGGTACTGCGTTGGACTTTACGATGGTGGCGAACTCTGGTGACGGAGGCGGACCAGTGGCGGCGATCTAGGTGAAAATTTCGACGACCGGTGGTGACGGTCCGGTTTTAAAAGTCTATGGACCTTTTGAAAGGCTGTAAATTAATCCATGAATTTAAAAATCAATAGAATTCATTCATAAACAAGTCTATGAATTTAAAAGACCATTGACTTTTTTAAAAGTTCATGGATTAAAAAAAGTCCACAACAATTCATATTTAATACACTCACATTATAATACTCCGTATTGATTTTACTAAATTTCATGTATAATAGGTCATATATACCTTATAATTTTACTAAATTTGACTGACACGTAGAATAATAAGAATTGTGTAGAGCCATAAATGAATTGATTGGTAGAGAAAGTGTCAAAGTTTGAAACTACAAAAAAAGATAATAAAGCTACACAGGATGGAAGGAATAGAACTTAGAGCATTATATGAACGATATTATATGTTTTTGTATTTTTTTTCACAATGTCAAATATATATCTAGATGTAGACATTGTGATTGGCATTATTGGATTTTTTTTATCAAAAACGCATAAAACCGTTCAAAGAAAGAGAGAGGGAAATGCAATACATTTATTCTTTTTTTATTTATCCCTCATGTCACATATGTGACGTGCACATTGTAACATTGGAGATATTTTGTTTTTGTTTGTTACATATGGTCTCATAAAATTATGAGCAATGGGGCAAATAGGCAATTAATAGAGTGCCAAACTATTCCAACCAAGAAAAATTCTTTTTGTACACACTTTATCGTTTTTATTGTTGTACATGCTTTAAAGCACTTTTGTGAAGAGATTTTTTGTTTGTAAATGATTTGCTTGTGAACAATGTATTCATAATTTTTTTTATAGATGCATGTGAAAATGTGTACGGTGAAACGCTTAGAAAAAGAATTTTTATGCGGCCAATTACAAAAACATGCCGGATGATCTTTACACAACCAATTCCCAATAGCGTAACTAACACCGTACGGCCGGCTGTACGGTGCTCACCGTACATCCGGTTTTTTTTTTGTAATTAAACCTGTTACAATTCAGCCCTGCAACTCACCAACGAAGACGATGAAGGACGGCAGATCGAAAGTATGGTGCAACTCAGGAACGCAGATCGCCGATAGCCAACCTTCTAAGTTCTAAGTGCAACTCACGGCTGAGATGCTTGGCCGACGCAGAGACGACTCTACCCCTGCGAGCGATTGCTATTCTTCACCGACTATTTTCCCGTCTCTGCTAATTACTGGTCTGCTATATGTGCTGCCACAATTTTTTTATACAAAATCTATTATGTTTTTGTCGTAATATTATAAAAATGAGTTTTATATTAAAGTCAAATGAGTATAAGCTTAAAAAACATGAACATACACAAATGAATATTGAGCATATTAAAAAATGTGTTTTATGTTAAACTCAAATGAGTTTAAACCCAAAATGAATGAGTATACCAATTTTTCCCCTCCCCTCCCTCCACACTTTCCTCTCCCCTTCTCTCTATTTTGCATCATACCAACCCCCTCTCTTCTTTTTCTTCATTATCATCTTGAGCTCTTTGTGCTCTTCCTTGCTTCCTCCTCCTCCTCCTTCTTCTCCTTTCATTCTCTCCTTTTCTTTCTTTTTATGTTTTATTCTCCATCACCTTCCATCATCATCTTCATCATCATCTTCCATCACCATTTCACCGGAAAATGGGCTGAAAACTCACCGCAGTGTAACGCCTGAATTGTTGTTTGTATGATGCTAAATAATGATAAATATTGTTTGCAATGAAAGATGAAACAAAAAAACTAGTAACATTCTATGAATTTTTTCCACAGAGAAAAAATGTATGTACTTCGACACTGGTTTGCTTTCAGTGTCTGTGTGCACAAGCAAAAGATGTTAAAAAAGTCAGGGCTAGAACTTTTTTATGTGATTGCACCGAAAGAAATGTCTGTGTACACGAACGAAAATTGTATATGTACATACACTTTTTTCCACACAGACATTGGTTTCAGTGCAACCACTCTGATAGATCTGCAAACCAAACATTTTCACACTGACACTTTTTTGTTTACACAGATAACTAATGTCCGTGTTCACCGACATTGGATTCCGTGCAACAAACCTGACAGATATAAAAACTGTAGAAAGTGTCTGTATTTATACTTTTTTGTCCGTGCGAATAACAAATAAGGAGGGTATAACCCACGATATACACCAAGAATTTCTGAATAATCAGAGTGTCCTGTATTTGTGTGAGCTCCCAGCCTCCTACGCTTAATCAAATTTTTTAGTTTAATCGATACTCTCGCACCCGGTTTTGTTCATACTGTTTCTGCTCCAAGAAACCAAAATATTTCTTCTGTCACTCCGCGGCGGAGCGGAGCATTTTGCCTCCCACTGTTGCCCTATCAGGTACCTATTCTGCTCCTATCTCGACATTTTCGACAGCTTAGTCGGTGTTCCGATTGTCCACTTCGATTTGATTGTTTCCTTTTGAGATTCCGCCAAATACACATTTATACATTTTAGGTAAGTATGTGTGTGTGTGTATGTTTACAACGCACAGTTTTAAGTTTCTATATGCTATGACTATTAGTTAAAGGATTATGATGCACTTTTATAAGTACTGGAGTGTCAAATACTGTTGAGCGCAAATACAGCGGTTTAGCGGCATTTTTTTTGAAATAAGGAGTACACATTATAGGAAATTACTAAAAATGGTAATATAAAACGTTGAGTTTAATACATGACGTGATCTCAAAATGCTTTGCATATGTTATGTTATCATCAAGTTATTGTGAGCTCCTGACAAAGATAAAACATTATGGAAGCAAAAACATCTTTATGTTTTTACTTTTTAATATTCTACTTTATTTGGAGCTTAGATTATGCTACGCTGTCATTCTCTTAGAGGTATGACCGTATGGCAGTGATGAACATAGCAAGCTTATTTACTTAGATTACCTTTTCTAGGTGCTGTTCTGTGCAAGCTATTCCTTTATGTCTTAGGAATGATTTAGCAGGGAACTGTCTTATCTGCTCTGAAAGCTCTAAGATGACCCACGCGAGCAAAGAAGAGGCCAACAAAGGTGGTCAAAGGGAACACTTGTTCCGTAAAGGGAAAAAGGTGACACTTAGGAAGGATGGAACTGCATCTTTAGTTATAATGCCAGTCACCATTGTGTTATCTGAACATAATATTTAATAATTTGTGTCCATACCATAATTGTTTATTGCAGAAAAGTGCAAAACAGCAAATTGATGCAACCTTGGAAGAAATTTACGATGAACGTTATGAGTTAAGCGATGAAGATGATGATAGTGACTGGGATCCTTTAGAGAAACAAGTTAAGGCTGTGAAGTGGGTTTGTATCAACTGCACCATGGTTAACCTCAGTAATGTTGTCCATTGCTATGTATGCTTCTATGTTCCATGTTGATCTTTTCCAATATGCAAATGGGAGTTCATTTCATATTCACGACTTTTGAAGATCCACAATATATGATATCTGCTGATATGCAGGCCTGTGGAGAGCACAAGGGTTCTGGAATAGTCAGGTTGGGATGTTTTGCCTCACCACTCATGCCAGAGGGAGATATTGCAGCACTTGAGTTAGATGCTACTGAGAAACTCAAAGGTTGTGGCCTGTAAATTGTGTCTTTCCATGCAATTTTCGACGCGATTTTTATCATGGGTCAATGGGTCATCAGGAAAGAGTCTCTCCCTGCTTTAGTACAGGGGCAAGGCTGCATACACCTGACCCCCCTTACCCCACCATAGGTGGGAGCCTTTGAGGCATTGGGGTAATGTTGTTGTTGTATAATTTTTTTTTCTGCCTGCAAAATGAAACAGAATAGACCATTTATCAAAATCTATAGATCCCTGGTGTGGTATCTAAGGGTTGTTCAATCTCGAGCCAAATACAGTTGAACTTATTGTTGCACTTTCTAGGATCACTTATATAGTATATTCATCCATGAAGAAGGTAAAACGTGTTCTTGTGCAATTAAAGTTTTGTTCAGAAAATTTAGCAACTTAAATATCAAGTGTTTGTATTTTTTTTCATAGCACCATTATAACAATAAAACATGGTGCAACTTTTTATTTGCTATGGCTAAGGATTTGGTACTTGGCACTGACATCAAGTATTGTTTAATTCTTTTTAGCAAATTTTAACTTTTCTAGGTTCATTCGGGAAAGGGTTTCCATCGGACTCCACCATGGTTGGGTTTGATGAGAGGATGCTGCTCCATGATGAAGTATGTTTCTATCTATGTTAGTTATTTATATTTACCTGGAACTTGTTGTCAGACTGAACTTTATTTTTGAATTGGGTTAATAGTCCTAAAATGAAATAATACTAAAAAGGAAAAAAAAGATCTGGGCAATTTGTGTTTTTCATACTTTTCTCCTTTCTGTAGTAATGATGATTTGTGTAGACATAGTAATATTAATGTAGTCAGTTTTTCCCCACTTCAATTCCCAGGATGCGAATTTTAAGATTACACCTTGAATCTTCCCTCTATCTTTTAGCTGAAATCAATGTACTTGTTATCTGATTGAAAGGTTGAAATGAAGTCTCATCCTCATCCTGAGAGACCAGACCGTCTTCGAGCTATTGCCGCTAGTCTTGCTAGTGCAGGTGCGTCTTAACGTTTTAATGAACTTAGACATCACAGATCAGTGATTGGTGTGCATGTTTTCTAAATTATTATATGTTCACACACATCTAAATTTCTAAGTTGTTCATTTTTCATGGCATGATGTTTATATTTTCATCAATATTTGAAGGTATATTTCCTGGGAAGTGTTATCCAATTTCAGCAAGAGAAATTACAAGGAAGGAGCTTCAGATGGTAAGATTATGATAAAAGTCTCTTCTAAAAAATAGAAGCTCTAGGTCCTGGCTGGTCATCATATTATTTGAAACATAATTGTTTCCTTGTTAAAACAATGTATGGTCATAATTAGATGTTGGTAGATGGAGTTTCTTATATTGAGAAAAGAGCTATACTCTCCCGGGTCATGATTCTATTTTATGCTTTGGGGAATATAGGTACATGCTTTGGAGAATATTGAAGCTGTAGAATTTACAAGTCGTTTGCATGCCAGGTATGTTAAGTTTTTTCCATTTATTCACACTCTTTCTATTCGTGAAGTTTTTTCCATTGATTCACACTCTTTCTATTCTTGCAATGGTAACTTGCAAGCAAGTAGTCAATTACGTCTACATGGTTCAGAGTGAGCGATGATATACATCTTCTTTCAATATCTTCTAATGGATTTTTTCTAAATTGCAGTTATTTTACTCCCGATACTTATGCAAATGCATATTCAGCATGTGCTGCCAGACTTGCAGCAGGCTTATGTGCTGATCTTGCTTCAACAATCTTCTCTGGCCGTGCTAAAAATGGTTTTGCTCTGGTAAGTGCTATGATTGTTAGTTGGTAATTCTAAATTGGCTGACAATAAGGAAAAGGAACTTAATTCATTCACTGGCAAAAATTGAGTTAGGTTCGTCCTCCGGGCCACCATGCCGGCGTAAAACAGGCTATGGGATTCTGTCTCCTTAATAATGCAGCTGTTGCAGCATTTGCAGCTCAGGCCGCAGGAGCAAAGAGGGTTTTAATAGTTGACTGGGTAATGATGTTATGTATATTGTTTCATGCTGAATTATAATTATTATTTATGAAAGGCTCGTCCTGTGATCCCCTGTATCTTAGTGACTCTTTCTTCCTCGCATGGTTTGTAGGATGTACATCATGGAAATGGAACACAAGAAATATTTGAAAGAAGCAAATCAGTGAGTATTTATTTTTCTATAATAAACTTCTCTTGGTAATTTGTTGAGGAATTTGTTGAGGAATAAGTTAAAGTCAGTAGGAAGATCTTACTTTTGTTATCAATAATTTTCTATTTGCTATTTCTGCCGTATAATGTATAGTAAAAGGTGACATAAATAACAGATTCATAATAGGTTCATAATGGTTTAAATGATATTATTAATCATGAGATGAGAGGTCGTGCTTAATGTTAGAAACATCCATTCTCAATGATTTGCACAATCAGTTATAGTCCGTTCATTATAATAAGTATCTTCTGTTTGTTCTATTATTTGCTATGATATTTTTTATGTATTATATTCTTATGTAGCTTTACTGTCAATTTTAATTCTGTGGATCTGTACCAGGTTCTCTACATATCTTTACACAGACACGAGGGTGGGAAATTTTACCCTGGTACCGGAGCTGCTAAAGAGGTATACAATAAATCCTGCCTGTGCATAGCAACATCAATTATAATATCTAACAAGTGTTAGAGGATGAGTGGATTATGTGCGTCAGTGATCTACCTATATGTAGCAACTTTAAATCATGCTCCTGCTTTGCAGGTTGGCTCCATGGGTGCAGAAGGATACTGTGTGAATATTCCATGGAGCCGTGGTGGAGTTGGTGACAATGATTATATATTTGCATTTCAAAATATTGTGCTTCCTATAGGTTTGTATCACTTCTTTTTGCATATATATAATTGAAGAGACATTATTAATTCGCATTAATGATTAACCTGAGAGTATTTCCATTTACGATTTTTCATTCACCATGTAGTTATGTAGCAGAGGAGTGAAGGACATAGGAAAGTGATGATAGTTTTGAGGATTTATATGATATTCCCTATTTATAATGAATCTATACATCTAAAATTTCTGTACGGTTTATCGCTTATATCATTTTCAGACATTTAGAATGTCATTTCTTAATATCGTTTTGCATGCTTTGTACTCCTCTGTTCTTTAAAACTTTGCCACGTCTGAATATTTTGGTCAATTATGTTAAACTTTGACCAATTATATATTTTTAAAGGAAATTATTTAAATAATGAAAATGATATGGAAATGCTCTTTGTTAAAAATACTTCCATAAAATTATTAAATTTATTACTTCCAAAATATTATACTAATCAAAATAATTGTCCAAACTTCACCACCATTGACTTGAAAATTCAAAGATGGCAAAATTTTAAGGGACAATAGTAGTAATATTTATGTGTGAATGTGATAGTTATATCGTGCTTTACATAAGTCCTTAGTTTTAAAAGGCGCGAGGTGGCATGAGGCATTTTGGGACAATTTACGCGAGGCACGAGGTGAAGGCGCACGCCTCACAGAACTTAATTAACTGTATAACGTTGGTAAAACATATTTATACTAATTCTACATGAAGCTCTCTTCTCAAAAAATGATAACATCACCAAAATACATTAAACCATTAAACAATCTAATAAACACCTTAAGAGAAACAAAATGTTGATTCAGATAGTAGCAGCAAACACATTAAACACCTAAAGCCAATCATAAAGTTGAATCGTAAAACTCCAAAATGTACTTTTAAAATGCTAAAGTAAAAAATTTAAACAATCTGAATGTACAAACCATCTTTATTATTATTTAAAATTTATAAACTATGTGATTGGGATTAGGGTTTAGGGCAGATTGATATATGGTCATATATTTACTTATAAATAATTTAAACTATTTGATAATTTAAGAAATTAAGATAAAAAGAGAAGAAAGAATAAAAGGAAACAAAAAAAAACTTACCTGCGACGTTAGATAGGAGCGGAAGAAAGAGGATAGGAGATAGTGGAAGCATAGCAGAGGCAGAATATTAGAGAAAATTTGACTCTGATGGAGTCAGGGAACCTCACCCCATCAATATATAATACCTACGGACCTTTGGAACAAGATACGTGAATCGCCAAGCTCGAATTAGGTATGTGAATCGCCAAAAAAACAAAGATGAGCAGACATCTTCTCAGAGGCGCCAGAGGCGAACGCCTCTCAGATGCGCAAAAAGCGGCGAAAGGCGAGGTATGGGGTGCACCTTTTAGAATCTGCTGCGCCTGGGTCTTTCGGATGCGACATGCCCATCGCCTAGGTGCGCCTTGCGCCTGAGGCGCGCTTTTTTAAACTAAGCATAAGTCACATGTGATTTATAGTTTTTATTTTATTTGAGATTTTTATTTACCATTATGCTTACCCTAATTTTAAGAGATGCTATTGGTTTATGCACTTAATGGCAGCCTCTGAGTTCGCTCCAGATTTTACTATTATTTCAGCAGGATTTGATGCTGCAAGGGGTGATCCCCTTGGTTGTTGTGATGTAAGTGGCGTCTTCTTGCATCTCACTCGCTCATTTAATATTCCTTTTGTTGTGTTGTCGTTTGAATTTTAATCCTAATTATATGTGACCCTTTGTAGGTGACTCCTGCTGGTTATGCGTTAATGACACAAATGTTGAGTCCTTTATCGGGAGGAAAATTACTTGTCATCCTAGAAGGAGGGTCAGTCTGTCCTGTCTGTGACTCTGTGCTAGTTATTTTTCGTTGCAGCAGTGTCTCCTCAATATTAAATGACATATGGATGTCTTTTTCAGGTATAATCTTCGATCAATATCATCTTCAGCTACTTCAGTGATTAAGGTATGCTTTGCCAACCATGACTGAAGACACTCTTAGTTAGAAGTAAGAAAATAATTGTATGGTTTCAAGTTTCAACTATCAGTGGCCAATAGGCCATATGGTGATTTGTGCATAAGATAGAACACACACACATACACATAAGTATACATATACCTATATAGAGAATAGATCATATCCGGACTTCTAGATAGCTATTTGTCAGGACTCTGGACCATTTTCAATCGCACTGCCCATATTGAAAAACAGTACTCATATTATTCAATTAGTTTTTGTCTGCCATTCTCTGCATCTTCTACACTTATTATCTTTTCTCACTCTCACCCAAAGCTCTCTTTCCTCTTACTAATTTAACGCTCCACATTTCCTTTCACATGAAGGCAACTTCTTCAACACCACTCCCAATTTTTTTATCTTTTCCCTTTGATTTATTTGATTTTAAAAATAAATCACCTATATAACTTCCTTAACTCCCAATCTCTTCGTCTCCTTTCCGTAAGGGTTTTATAGTAAGCTTGAGTTGCAATAAGGGCATGGCAAACCATTAGGACAACACTTGAAGAGAGTTTGCTCAAATTAAACATTCAAATGCCTCTTCAACAGGGGAATATTAATATAGCCTTGCCGACGTTAATTGATTGTTTTTGTTGATGTAAATTTTCTTGTAACCCTGAAAGCCACAACCCCACTAAAACATACTGTTCTTACGAGATGTTCCGTCAGTTTTTTCATTTCATATATGTCAAGTGATATCGCTCAAATTAGTACCTTCATTTTAGTTCAAAATCCCATGTGGCTGCATGTAATTTCATGCAATTCCTTTTGTCTCTTGATCCCTGAAATTTAATATCCTTGATGCTAAGGCAGAGGGAGAGCCTACAACTAGCAAGGATTTGACAAACACGATGGATGAGTGAAAGGAGAGAGATTTACGTGAGAGAGCATTATGGGAAGGGAAGAAGACAGCCAAAGTGGAGAGACCAACACAAAATGACTTTTTTAATCTGGACAGCCAGCTTTAGAACATATACATATACATATACATTTAATACAAAAAAATGCGCACACACACATATACACACACCACACACACATACCTGAGGGAAAGGAGAGAGATTTACATGAGAGAGCGTACTATGGAGGGAAAAGAGGACGGTTAAAGTGGGGGACCAACAAAAAATGAAATAAGCTTTTTTTAATGTGGAGCATCAACTTTAATACACACACACCTACACACAAATACATATACACATACATATACATAAAACACACATGCATGCACACACACATAGAGAGAGAGGGAGAGAGAGAGAAGGGATGGAGGAAGGGAGGATGGGAGGGGGAGGGATAGGGGAGGGAAGAGGAGAGAGATAGAGAGGAATCATATCAGGCGTGCTTGACAAGATTTTTTAATAGGCGCACACCATTTTTGGACAAAAATAGTTCAGCAGTCCAAATTTTTTCATTCATTAGCATCAACTAGTAATTTTAACCTTTTGATCATGTCACAAATTCAATTCTATCTATGATAACACCATTATTAATCTTAACCTTAATTAGCTTTAACTTTTCGGTAAAGTCTAAAGTTAAAAAACTAAGGGCCTGTTTACTAACAGATATATTTTCCAGTTTTCGGAAAACTTGAAAACTAGAAAATGAAAAACAAAAAACGCGTTTACCAAAAAAATTGCAAGAAATTTGGAGAAAGGAAAATAGAAAAATGCGTTTACCAAAACCAAAAAATGAGATGCCTGTGTTTTTCTTAATGAATTGGAGGAATGAGTTTTACTAGTTTTCCAAATTTGAAATACAAGGATGCTGCAGTGTCACGATAATGAATTTGCATACTCATGCCTAGTGGTGAAGTCAACGATCAATGACTCGGCAGTCCAGTCCGATCAATGGCTCGGCGATCCCTCTCCAGTCAATGACCCGGTGATCCCTATTCGGTCCGGTCAACGATCCGACGGGGTATCTGTCTGGTCCGGTCGGTTTCTATCTTGACTTTCCTATACTCAGCACCAAGTACCCTACTTGGGCTGTACTAGGTTCGGTTCTAGACTGGGACCGAGACAATACTTTTGGTCGGACACAGAATGAGGTGGAAAAATTGGATGAACATGTTTTCAGATTTGAAGATGGAAAACTAGAAAATGAAAACATCAAATAAGAGATAGATAATCTGGAAAATGAAAACAGAAAATTAAAGAACGGAAAACAGAAAAGAAAATTGAGAAATATCTCTGTTAATAAACAAGCTCTAAAGTTTTTAGAGTCTTTCTTTGAACAAATTTATCTGGAAACAGTCGCTCAGTGCTTTAGTACAGGGGTAAGAGTGCGTACATCCGACTTCCCCTTACCCCATCGGTAAGTTTTTAGGAATAAACTGCCTTGATTGAATAAGCCACTCGGCCAGGGTATAAATACACTTTGTACAGATAACAACTAGCTAGTACAGATCCTAAAAAATAGGATCTTGATAACTACGAGCTTATCTACAACTAAGTGCATCTATTCTAGTCTATCCGACTAAATATGTACATCAAATTAATCAGAAAAAAATATTGCACCATTTTCTACACTCCCCCTCAAGTTGGTGAATATATATCATACATTCCCAACTTGCTCACAAGTAGCTCAAATATAGGTCTAAATAACCCTTTGGTGAAGATATCAGCTGTTTGATCTTTAGTGGATACAAATGGTGTGCAAATGATTCCAGCTTCAATCTTCTCCCTAATGAAATGTCTGTCCACTTCAATATGCTTAGTTCTATCATGTAGCACAGGGTTATGAGCAATGCTTATGAAATGTCTGTCCACTTCAACATGCTTATTTGCAATGCTTATGAAATGTCTGTTCACTTCAACATGCTTATTTGCAATGCTAGCTAGAAACCATGCTTCTGGCACTGAGCGCGCAGTAAACCGATCAATCAGTGTTTGTCATGTGTGATTTGTAGGGTCATTTTGTGTGTTATAGGGTCATTAGTTGTTTAAATGGTGGCCCACAAAAGGCACAAATTACCTCAGGAGCAGTGGAGTTTTCTCATTTGAATGGTTCGACATACTCTTCTACCTCAGGAGGAAGAATATTTTTTACTGTTTTATTTTTGGTTTAATGTTTTTGAGTAGGTTTGAAATCCTTGCACAGGAGTTTATCACGTCATTTTTGCATAATTATGGAGTACACTTGGAAGCCCAATTGTAAATTATGTTTTTTTCTTTAAAATGCTTGGTGCTTTTCTAATGTAGACCTCCGTTATCAGGTCTTACTAGGTGAAAGTCCAGAAACAGATCTGGATCGTTTTATACCTTTGAAGTCCTGTTTAAGAACCGTAATGGAGGTAATCAAAATACAGATGAGCTATTGGCCTACAATAAAGTCCCACTTCAACAAGTTGTTGTCACAATGGGGAATGCAAGCTTTTCAGAACACAAGTGAGTACGCCTCCACTATAGGGCATCTTAATCGATATTTCCTATTCTGAACTTTCTTAGAGCTTGTTGATAAGATTAAATTTGGTTGATATGGCTGATCTGAAATTACAGAAAAAGACTATGGACTAAACTATATAAAAATGTATTTAAAGTATATTTTCTCAATAATTAAATCAGGTAGTACATTTTATAGGCTAGAAGTATCATTTCCTTTCATTTCAGCCATTTCATTAAAAAAAATTAACTCCTGCACTATTTTATCAATAAGTTCAGTTATCACGTTAAAAGAATTATATTCCAGGAGATAGATTTTAACATGGTAGAGAACAAAACCTCAATAATAACAAAGTAAAGGAACAAGTAATGTGCGCATGTCTCATGGATGCGGCCCCTTATTGCCGAAGTCAGTGCTTACTCTACATAGGAAATGAGTACAACGATTGCAGCGTTATGCGTGATAGTGAGAGCTCTGTGTGTTCAGCACGTTCGAGGATGATCACTGAATCTCTCTCTCTCTCTCTCTCTCTCTCTCTCTCTCTCTCTCTCTCTCTCTCTCTCTCGTCGTGAGCAGTAAACTCGTCAACTAGTCCCTTATGTCAGTCAGTGTGTCAAAGTGTGCAAAAATCAAGTAGAAGTTCTTCGAATGTCTATATGGAATTTAGGCACACCTTTTCATAATTCTTTTTTTGCAAGAAATCCTAGTGAGAATGCAAGTACTTTTGGGCATTTGCAACTAGTACTTGATCTTTATTCTACCATGTGGCTTCATCACCACATTTCAACATGATGGGAGTTAGAGACTGGTTTTGTTCTTTCTAGGAGATTCATATGAAAAGGTGTGTCAAGGCTTTGTCTAGCTTTGATCAAACTTTTCTTGATTTAGTCGACCAGGCTTCCTTTGTGGGATGTATCTTTTGCCAACTGATTCATTGCTCTAGTCAACCATAGGATCTACAGGCCAGACTTGCTCTATAGGTTCTTATGTTTCTTAGAGACCACGGTGAGGAGACAACATACAAAGTCAGCAAGAGAAAGTATTCTTTACAAATGATGAAAAAGTGCCTGATCCACACAGAGGGCCTCAAAGCCATGGGGCCTAACTTTTGCTGCTCTACCTTCCGTGGCCTCGTCATTCATCTATCCATTTGATAGAGGCTAAGCTCTAAGTTGACATACTAAATCGTTTGATAACTAGGCACGGCGATCAACTAGTGGTTAGCTTCCCGCTCGGGCAATCTAGGGATACCGACTGTCATAGTAGGTTGCCTACTCGAGTGTATAAGAACCCATAGTGAGTCATGGTGTGAGCTTTGACTAAGGTTTAGGGTTGAGGGGTTCGACCTAGTAATTAACCCTAGATAATTTGGTTTTGGCCAATACTCCAACAATAGTAAATACGTATTAGTGCTTTGACTAAGGCATGGTGCGCACGTTGCTCAGTTGTTGACTCTATTAATGTTGTGTACTTGTGTGTATGAGTAAATACGCCTCATTATCGCTGAATTAAATGCTGACTATACATATTAAATGATTGCAATGATTGCAGCGCTAACGCTCTAGGTATAGAATTGGGTTCACCAACTCTCAGAGTGTCCATATGAATCCTTTAGGGACAAAATCTTGCAGAAAATGTTATGATGAGTAGCATTCTATATTATATGTAAAGAGCACTGAATTTACATGACACTGCCACCACCCACCCTCTAAAAAGTGTGGCATAACATTTTTCTTTTCTTGCATCTAATTATTCTTTCTTAGAAACTTTGCATATTATTCTGAACCATGGTTGACAATGGGTCCAGGAAAACTGACCAAAAAAAGGCATCGGACAGTGGTACCAGTCTGGTGGAGATTTGGACGGAAGTGGTTTCTCTATCGCCTATTAACCAAGCGAGTTCTTTTGAAGTCCAAGTTCCGCTGAGTATTCCTGTTGATCAATCCATATATGTCATCCATGGTTTTTTTGTAATTATTGTCGGGTTTACCCTGGCACCAATTTAGGATTTCGAGTAGCTTAGGATCACTTTGCAAACTTCTGGTGATGTTTCAATGATCCATCACTGCCGCCTAACCATCCATTACTCAACTCTCCCTTATGACATGCATATTGCGTTCGTTGCACAGTTTAGATTGTAGTTTGCAATTGCATGTTAGGTAATCATCCAAGTCATTAGAAACCACGTTTAGTGCATCCCCTGCTCCTCCACATTATTGGGGAAAGGTACTGATAAGTCTACTACTGTACGCCTACAAGTCTACAACCTCTATATGTTCCTTGAGCTGCTTTTTAGACCCATATTAAATCTTATTTGCTCTGCCACTGATGTGTGAGATTCCATGAATATATTAGGTCTACATTAGCCATTAGGATTTGGAGAAGGCTCCAAATATACCAGATTCAAATGAACAAACTCTTCAGCAAATAATAAAAAATGGACACTGAACATGAAGACTGGGGACTGAATGGGGCTTAGTTCTCTGGCACATGATCTTGTATTATAAGGGTTCTATATGACCCTTGGAAGAAAATGCCACATAAAGAATTTGAATAGGAAAATTAGGAAATCTATATTTGAATCAATGCTTATCCTAGGCATATAAGTTTTTCTTTTTAAAACATGGAACAAGAGCGCGCCACATGTTTACAATCAATTTTACTTTAGAGTAATAAAAGTTTGAAAAAGCACTAGGCACTATAAATCTATAATAATACAACAGAAAAATACTCCACTCACCTTACTCGTTTGCTCTTATTGGGGCTTATTTTAAGAGTGGAATTGCTGGTGTAGTTAATATGGTATATACGTTGAGAAATAGAAATGGTGAAAAAGTAAGAGGACTTTTGGTAGGAGGTAAACAATTACTTTGCATGCGAAGTATAAGGATGTAAAAGATTTACATTGTTTAGTTTGATTATTTAATGTGAACAACAAGACATTTTTAAATCATTTTGCATCGTATCATGTAAAGGAAATAATTGTGAATTGCAAGACATTTTTTAAAACATTTTGCAATGTATCATGTAAAGTATTTTACGCAAGGTAGGGGTGGACTCGGGCCGGTTCGGGCCCGGCCCGGTCTCGGTTCAAGAAGGGGAGGCCCGGAACCGGCCCGGGTAACCCCCGGGTCCGGGCCGGGCCGGGCCGGGCCTCGGGTATATTTTTTTTATTGGGCTTTTCCTAGTTAATCCCCACCCCTCCCACTCACCCCCAAACCAACCCTAACCACCTCAAATGGTCCAAAATAACCAGCCCAACCCAAAAACTCAAAAAAATTTCAAAAAAAAAATTAAAATTGGCCCGGCCCGGGCCCGAACCGGCCGGGCCGGTTCACCTTTTGAAGGGCCCGAGCCCGAACCGAGAATCCACCGGGCCGGGTGGCTCGAACCGCCCAACGAACCGGTTCCCGGGCCGGTCCGGGCCCGCACAGTGGCGGGCCGGTCCGGTTCCGGGCCGGTTGGCCCGGCCCGAGTCCACCCCTAACGCAAGGGGAGGATGGTGAAATATTTTGCATGCTTTTTATGAAGCACTGTAATGCTTTTGCGTGCAATTTAAAAATAAAATACACATGTAGTCAAATGATGTGACCTATTCTACATGTAAAGTATTGATGGACTCGGGCCGGGTCGGGCCCGGTCGGGCCGCCGGGTAGTATGACATGGGCCCGGGACCGGCTCGAGGGTTGGACGGGTCCGGTTCGGGCCGGGCCACCCGCTCGGGTCACGGGTCGGGTCCGGTTCGGGCCGGGCCGGTTAATTTTTTTTTATAATTTATATTTTATAGTTTATAGTTTTATACGAGTATTAAAAACAAACTTCAGTTGCATTTATTTGAAATGAAATAGGAACTACATTTGAAAATTAAAACAAACTTTAAGAGATAAAATATTTTGAAAATTGTAATCAATCGGAACTTTCCGCACCTCCCGATCCTTTGGCTTTGTCACATGACTTCATATGTTTGATTGCCATCCCGAATCCGCCTGAAACCCCCATGCTACATTTTTTCTCGCACCATTTGCAAATTGCGTACCACATCCCGGTCTTCGGGTCCTTCTGCTTATCAAAATTATACCGTATAATGGCATCTTGATTTTCCATCTTAACTTCTTAAGTATAAACTATAAAGTAGATATATAAATAATAAATATAATATATTGGAGAATAAGAGAATTAGAGAGTAGAGAGTTAAGAATAGATTTAGAAAGAATTGGAGAAGAGATGAAAAAATGTTTAAGATTAGGAGTATTTATAGGTTTTTTTTACCCCCCACCCCCCCACCAACCAACCCCCCGGACCCCCCCTTTACCCCACCCAACGGCTATATAGCCGTTTGGGTTGTCCCCAGCCCCACCCCCAACGGCTAGTAGCCCAAACCAATTTTTTTTTTTTAAATTAGACCCGGACCCGGGCCCGACCAGGCCGGGCCGGGTCACAATAATCCAGCACCGAGCCCGCCCCGCCCCTTCCCACCGGTTCGGGTCCATACCCGGTCCCGGACCGCCCGACCGGGCCGGTCCCGGGCCCGCACAGTACCGGTCCGGGCCGGGTCACGGGCCGGGTGGCCCGAACCGAATCCAACCCTAATGTAAAGTGACTGCTTCTCAAAATTTTGCATGCAATGATTTCGCGTGCAACTTTTTAACTACCAAATGAGCCCTAAGGATTTTTTGTTTTTTGTTGGATATGAAAACAAATTGGAGCCATGTTAATACTTTTTCATAAAAGCAAATTGGAACATATAATAGTGAGTAGAGTTTTCTGAAGAAAGAAAAAGTTGATGTTTTTGTGGACATTTGTTCAAACTAATTTTCTTATTTCAAATCAAATATATATAAAGTAAAACATTTAAGGCTGTTGAAGTTAAGTTCTTGTTTGATGGAAATAAGACCTCGATCAAGGGATGGAAAGATTGATTCTATCATATAAAAAAGGAAAAAGGGGCAAATAAGTACTCCATCCGTCCCTAAAAAAACCCGCACGGGTAATTCAGTTGGTCGAGTGGTGGGAGATTTGGAACAATGGACCAAGGTTTGAATCCCCGCAGCGACCGGGTGGAGGTCACAGAACCTGAAATAAGGCTGGGCCTCTGGTGCGCACGGGTGTATGAGCCTACTGCCATTCTGCTGACTGAGTCACCGTGACTAACCTCCCCACCATCCTGTCGGGTCGGGGTGGGGGGGCTCCTGGGGTGGGAGATTCCATCTTTTGGAACAAAAGAAAAAGGGGCAAATAAGCCTACGCACTAACAAAAAAAGTTAAATAAGCCTTTATATAGGAGGCTTTGTCCGGCCTCGTCATTTGGGGCAGTTCTTGGTGGAAGTTTTTGATGATTTTTTTTGAGAATCTTATTCACTAAGTCTAGTTTACTCATACCAAATTTCAGCTAACAATTCAATTGGGAAAGCATTCAAATAAATTCTTGAACTGCGCAGTTATCTTCAAGAATTCATTTGAATGCCTTTTCGATTGAAGTTTTAGCTGAAATTTGGTATGACTAAACTAGACTTAATGAATAATATGCTCAAAAAATTGCATCAGAATTTTCCACCGGGAATCACCCCAAATGACGACGGCTAGACATAGCCTCCTATATAAGGGCTTATTTGACCTTTTTTGGTTAGTACGTGGGCTTATTTGCCCCCTTTTCTCTATAAAAAACATCCTCCCAAACTGTTACCATTTTCTTCATGTGTCTTGGTGGAGAAAATTTGAGTAAATATTGGTGTTTTTCTTTATCCTCTTCCTCAGTGTGCACACACTGAGGAGGAGAAATGTTTCAGTCTGTCTGTTGAGGCTTATTCCTTCAAATCGTAGGCCCAACCCATAACCCAAGGATTTCAAGTGGAAGATGTGGTAGAATCGATGGTAAAACAAGCAAAGATGGGCTAAATAGTCCGTAGAAAGTGGGTTGTATTCTATTAAGATATGATAAGATTCGTACACAATATACTTTAGTACAAGAGCCCTGAGGTCGTTCGTCTAATGCTATGCTCTGAGTTGATACAAATGCTATAATGCTAGAGTGCTAAGTTGTCAACCTCTTACAATGAAATAAGTGCTATTATTTATACTACCAAGGGGTAGCTAGACATGCTGACGTGGTGAGTTGTGGATGGCTAGAATCCTAACCACCAAATCTTCTGCATTAAATGCGCTTCACGCCAGAATCTGGGTTTCCCGCCTAGGGGTGGGGACGAGCGTCCCCACGAGCTTGCCTCCTGGGTTCTGTTGGCCCTAAGTTCTAGGTCCCGAGCTTCCTGCACTGTCTACCGGAGCAAGGTACTAGGCTGTTTTAGGCTACGTGCGTCCCCTGGCAGATGCCCATTGGACTTTGGCGGCTTGTATGATGTAGGATGGTTCCCCGGGAGACGAACTTCGCCACAATTGGTGAGATGCATCCCAGTTGGCTCGTGTTTGGTGACGTTCGTCGAGTGGGCCTTAAGGGTTGATGGTTCAGCCCCTGTTGGGCCATTAACTCAACACAAGTCCCCCACTTATGATGTTCCGAGCGTGCGCAGAACATGAAGAAGTAAAAGTGCTCCCGCCGTGCTGATATTCATCGACGCTCCTGATGTGACAGTTGCTTCTCTGGCGGTGGTTCACGAAGCCCTAGGTGGGGGTTACTGCATGCGGTACAATTCTCGATGAGAAGCCATCATTGCGCGTCTGTTCATCTCTAAGCTCACACGTCCTTGGATACGCTCCTCGCCACTCGTCGCTCCGTGATTAGTCTGTTGGGGGGTGCCTTCCTATCTCTTGGTGAGTCTAGGGTTTCCATTTTACCGCTTCTGCTTTCTAGTGTTCTCAAGTGCCCGCTACTCTGTTGCTAGTGCTTCGGGTCATCCATTCCTGAATTCGTAAGGCACTTTGATTTTTTGGTTCTTCCTTCCTTCAACCCCTCTGTTCCTCCCATGGCGTGTTCGATGGAGATATCCACTAGTTCTAGTTCTGGTTCAGAGTTGAGGTCTCGTTCCTCAGGGGGGTGAGTACCTCCGGTTATTTTGGCCCTTCCACTGTAGCGGGGGTAATCGCAGCTGAAGGCGCTGTCCTAGGGGGCGCAGCCCCAGAAGACGTTGAGATAGGCATCCTAACAACATCCTGAGGACGAGCGTCCCGATGACTGATTCCGGAGCGGAAGCCTTTGATGGGGATGACCTGCAGATCCATGATCAGGGTATCCCCATGGACGTCCACCGTCATATGCTCTTGCACAATGTAACCGAGATTGAACAATCTTTTTTGGACAAGGCCCTAAAAGAACTGAAGGTCCTTCTCCCCCCGCCGTTCGTCTACAGCCTTCGGGGCACAGATCATTTGTTGAGACGACGTCCGAGGATGATAATGGTGCATATGGACTCTATCAAGGTTGGGCTGCACTCCCCCATCCACCAATGCTACCTCGACTTCTTCGGCTGTTTTGAGGTCGTGCCTGCCCAACTCATTCTGAACTCCTACCGGTTTATTTCGGCGTTCATCACCTGGTGCATAGCAAGGGGCGTAGTCCCGAATCTGGACCTCTTCCATAACTTCTTTCGGGTCACCCCCCAAAATGCTGATGGCTTTTTGAGCGTTGCCGCTTGTCCTGGCCAAAAACTATTTTCTGGGGCTCCGACCTCCATCCACGACTGGAAGAACCACTTTTTCTTCTTGCGTCATCCAGACAACCATCTCCCTGTGAGGTGGAACGGGTATCCGCCCAAGATTGGACCACCAGAGTTAACTGATGACTTGAAGGAGGACATTAAGAAGTTGAAGACGGACGAAATCAAGCCCTTGAAGGATTTTTCAACTTCCAAGGAGCTTTCCGATGCGGGGATAGGTACCGCTGTGCTTCTTGGACTGTAATCATTTGTTTATGCTCGTCTTGTGGGCCCGGGTGGTCCTGCTCCTGAGGTAAGCGCCCGTGAGGTTCGCACCCCCTGATATTGACATTCATGTTTCTTTGTTTCAGGACTCCCCCTACCGACGAACAAATGAACCAAGAGAAGTTCGTAGTGCAACGAGCGGCCAAGGCTGCCAAACGTCAGGCTGCACTGGAGAAGGCCAAGGCCGCCTAGTCTTCAGAGGCCAATTCTTTAGCGGCCTCCCAGGTCGTTAAGCGCACTGGGGAGGCCGAACAGCAGCTGATCCAGGTTGTAATTGGGTAGAGCTTGGAGGCCCCCCACATTGAATCCGGCCCGGTCTAAGACGCGGAGCCGCTGAACGTCACCCCTCCCCGAGGCGAGGAGGTGGCCAAGGAGGAGGACGAAGAGGCACCGACCCGAGTCCTCTAGTCCTAAGGTTGATGATGGCGTGTTGCCTTCCCTGGGCCGCCCAGTATATGAAATCTGGAGGGAGATCGCCCTTTAAACCGGGGTGCAACAGCCACCCCGCACGTCGGTTGAGGCTGTCAGCCATGCTCTGGCGCTGACCCTCCAGGTATGCACTTTTTCTCTTTGTGATTATTCTAACCCCTGTAAGCTATCCCCCCTCTTACCAACTTTTGCTTCTATTGATGTTAAATCCAGCAGATCCGAAAGCCCAACACACGCTTTGGATATTAAGGATGTAGAAAATAAGTTGAGGGTCTAAGAAAATATAAAAGCTGAATAATAATCTGCCCAAAATGCCCACTTGTATTAAGCTATTCACTGATTACACAGAAAACTTCCCGAACGGTACGTCATTGTAGTGATAATACAATAACAAGAATGAGAACTCTATTCTAGGTTCTGAGTCTCAAAATGCTAACCCTTTACTATGAGATTAGAGCCCCTATTTATACTAATAAAAAGGGGGTGGGGGGTGATGACGTGGCTGAATATGACTTGTTGCCATTCTCGAGCCACTTAGATGCCCATACTCCCACTTGCTGATGCCATACCTTATTATTAAATGCCCTTTGCCACTTGTAGGCCACCTGTTCCCCGAACGGGGTGATGGTCCATGCTGATTACATGTTTGATCTGGCCCAAGTACCCTGGTTGATCCGATCCCCGTTCGGGCTAGTTGCTAGGTCTATTCTTCTTTGATCCTTGCCGACTAATGGGCCTGGTATATTGGGCTTTTGGCCCAATATTCCAACACGAGTCCCCCACTTCTGATGTCCCGAACGATAGTGAAGGCATAAGGAAGTAGAATAATTTGGTTGTATGCCGTTCGACAATCGTGTATGGGATCACGCCGGTTCTCGATGTCATGATTTTAGGCTTACTTGCGGCTGTCGTTTGATTTTTCCCATAATCGTCATGATTACTGGACTTTGTTTCTCTGCGTGACACGTGTTTTCCCAAATGCTCTAGGTGACGTGTTTCCTTTTGGTTGGTCAATGAATCGGCGCTTGTAGGCTATAAGTAGGCCTTTGGTTCTCTGGTTCCGGGTTTTGAATTTTCAGATCCTTCGTGCTCTTGCTCTGCCTTCTCTCTAGAACTCTTCAAGCTCCGTCCGTTCAGGTACACTTTGCTCCTCCTTACTTTTTTCACTTCGTGTTCGGTCAACATGCCTTCTCGATCACCTTCTTCTGGATCGAATTCGGATTCCGCCACTCAAGGGGATCTCCATGACGCCGCTGCACAAGAAGCTATAACAGTTCCCTTTGTTGATGTTGCCAATGATGCGACTGTGGGGGTGGTTGATGAAGATCCTTCAGGCGACTCTGCTTCTGGCGAGGACTCTAATGGCACGATGTCCGATGATGAACTTGCTTCAATGGTGGCTGGCCCCCCAGGTGATGTCCCTCGTTATAGGGTTGACCTGAGATTAATCAGGGAGAGGAGGCAAAAATTGACTTCTCACAATAGGGCCCAAATTCCATCCTTAATTCCGGACCCGATGGATTTCCGTCTTCGGGCTCGGCTTCACCCAATGCGCCACCTCCCTGGGATGGTGGTCGTCCATTTAGATTCAGTAAAAGCTGGGCTTAGGTTTCCCCTGCACCCATTTTTCGTGTCCTTCCTCAAATTCTATGAAGTAGTACCGACCTAAATCATGCCGAACTCCTATCGGGTGATGGCCAGCTTCATTTGCCGTTGTGTGGATGCCAATATTACACCCAATCCGGAACTATTCCATCAATTTTTTAAGGCCCCCCTAGCAGACGCATGGATACTTGGCTGCAACTGCCCGAACGAGTCATATTTTATTTAAGGGCAACCTTACCTCAATCAAGGAGTGGAAAGACCGGTTCTTCTTCGTTTTTGTCCCGGACGACTTGATTCCTAATAGGTGGAATGCTTTCCCCCGTAAATCTCCCGATTCGCTTCTTACTGAGCAAATTTGCAAGGATGTTTTCGCGGTGGAAAAGGACAAAACTTGTGACATTATAGGATATCTGACTCATGATCGGCTTATCAAAGCCGAGATAGGTACTGCCCGCACTCTTGGGTTTGCTTGACTGAAAACCAAGTGCCATGGGCCGGGCGGTCCTTCCCGTGCGAGAAACGTCCTTTTCTAGTTTCCCACGTGGTATGATCGCTCGATACTAACTCTTATCTTGTTATTATTTTTTCAGTCCCAAATCCAGACGTCCCCATGGATGACAGCCGTGTGCTTGTTGCCGGTGGAGTAGGAAAGAGGAAGAAATCCAGGAAGAATCCTCAACCTAAGCCATCACTCAGCGCTTCACAACACACTGGGCCTCCTCAGCCCGTTCAGGAGCCTGACCCTATTCAGCAGGTTCCCCATCATCAGGAGCCTGATGATATGATGATTGATAACCCGTTCGGGTCTGAGCAAATGCAATTCTTCACGGAGCAATTCCAGGCCGCCCAAGATACAATCTTGGGGGCCAATCAGGTCAATCCTGCCAATCTTGCAGGACAGATCGAACGGATCACTCTGGAGGATCCTGTTCACGAGATCATGGAAATAGCTGGTTCCTCCGTGAGCCAAGTCTGGTCCACCTCTGCTTATTTTAATAACTTCCCGCTCCCAACAATGCCGATCGGTCGGGCAGAGGAATGTGTGGCCTTAACGACCTTGAAGGTACTTTGTTCTCCCTGTACTTTGTTTCACATCTTATCATGCAACCTTTATCTCATATTTTATCCCCGAACGGGGCCTTGTAGATGGGTTTGTACAGCTTGCAGCTGAGGGAGGCCCGTTTGGCCAAGGAACGGGATCTGATCATTGCCCAAACATTTGCAGAGTAGGCTGCTGCTGCTGCCACTACTGCTGCTGAGGTCGAACGGAAGGTTTTTGCAGAGCAAAAACAGAAGCTAAAGGAGGAGCTTCGGGAGCTTTGGGTCCAGTTGGCTGCTTCCCAAGCCAAAGTCTTGGATGTTGAGGCCGTTCAGATTAAATTTGAAGAGATGCCCCCTGCAAATCAGACGGTCCTGCTAAAGTGAATGTGGACCTGTCCACTGTCCGGGAAGCGTTCAAATCTTCTGATGAATTTTCTATCATCAAGGAGGAGTATGCTCGACAACAGCTCCCAGTAATTTTCGGGGCTCATATTGACAAGTTCCCATGGGGGGGCCGAACAACATAAGGCAGGAGTTGACCTGTTGGACAAGGATCCCCGCGGCAAAAGTTGGAACGATTCCTTGGCTTCGGACCTCTATATCAAGGGCTGCCAGCATATTCTGCGGCCCTTTTTGGACCAGCTACAGCAAAGCCTGGGGAGACCAATCGATGCCTCCGATCTTCCCCTAGTCCCAATCGTCCATGCCCAGTTCGAAAAATACGAACGAGATATGAAGCGGATGGCCGATCGTGAGGCCGGTTTAGAGCCGGATCCTCCCTCTGATGAAGAAGAGGATGAAGATGAAGTTTAGGATCCGTAGATTAGCTTTTATTCTGAACCCCTTTTATTTTGACTTTAAGATCACTGTATCTCCCGGCCGGTAGAGCCGATGAATACATACTTATCTTTTTGCTCACTACCTTCTTATTTTGTTTTTGGGTTGCCCTTCAGGATTCAGCTAGTTTTATAGGACTTGGCCGTTTCTCATGTTTCTGATGCGGATACTAAGGGTTTGGACGTATCTCCTCTTTCAAACTATAGATATGATTTCCTGTTCGGGTCATCTCCTGCCTAAAGTTGAAATGGAGATACGTCCAAATCAATAGCTTGGATTCCACCCTCTGATTCGTTTTATTTTAATTTTTTTTAAAAAAATCATGGTTCTGACTCCCCTGTACCTTAGCTTTGTTTCGTTTCTTTGCAGGAGTGATTCCTCTTGCTGCCGTTTGGTGTCCCACACCTGCTCCTACTTCGACGGCCTGCATTGGGAAAGGCAAGGAGAAATTGATTGCTGGAAACCGGAATGATGCCGAACAAGCCCAGAAGAGGTGTCGGGGAGATGATGGCACCCATTTTGTCCCGAGTGATCATATTGTTGATTTAACTGGTCCAGAGACTGAGCCCAAGAGGCCTATCATCCCAACTGCCAAGTCAGGGGATCAAATCCTTATCAACTTGCCGGTCGACGATCAGATGCTTCTGGAGTTCTCCAATATGGGGCCTCGTTTATAGGGGAGGTACTTGTTTGGGCAGACACCGACCTCTATGTGGTGTAACACATCCCTGAAGGCTCCCCCCAGTTTCACCAATTTGACCCATTGGTCTGACCTGGTCGAAGCGGGTCATCTTGAGGCCCTCAAGGTATGGATCTTTTTAAATTTCATTTACATCTTTTAAATTTCCTTAGATCTCATCTGATCCTGTCAACCGTTTTCGCAGGCCGACGTATATTACCATCGAGCTTTTCTGGCGGCTGAACGGGAGATGAAGATTCTGGCCACCGATCGGGATGATAACCAGGTCCTTCTAGCTAGGGCTGAATTCGGTTCGGTTCCCGAACCGAAATAGGAAATATCCGAACCGAACCGATCTTTCGGTTTCGTATATTCTATAACCCGAAACCGAACCGATCTAAGTTGGGACCCAATTTTTCGGAAACCGAATTTTCGGTCCGGTTTTTTGGTTTTTGTGAAAATACCGAATGGGTATTCAATATTTGTTTATATTGTAGCTAATACTCGCACTCAAGCTTTACTAGCAACTTAGTCTTTATCAGCTATGAAGGAGCGATTATATAGGCTCAAATGAGGAGTGAATCCTCTATTTCATCCGGTGTGGGACGAGTTGTAGGCTGAAGAAAATCAAATTGGAAGAATTGGGGCGGAAGAACAGCAAAAAATGTTTAACGTAATCCGTCCTTGGGGGGATTCGAACACGGGTGACACGAAGGGAGCGTGTTACCTGTCACCGCTGAGCTACTCCGGATTACTGGCAAATCGGGATGCCAAATGTATTACATACATTAGTTAAAGAAATTAAATAAAATAATTTAAAACTATTATTTAATAAATAAATCGGTTCGGTTTGGTTTGAACCGATTTTCAATATCAAAGAACCGGTTCCGAACCGATTTTTCTTCGGGTCCCAACTTTCGGGTCCCAATCAAGTCGGTTCGGTTTCGGTTCGGTTTTTTTTCCCGCTCGGTTCGGGTTTTTTCGGTTCGGTTTTCGGTTTTTCGGTTAAAAATTCCAGCCCTACTTCTAGCTGCTGCCCGTAAGTTGGCCACAGATTTGCAGGATCGTGCTAGTAAGGGTGAAAAAACATTGACCGAGCTGGCGGAGAGGGTCCGCCGTCGCGATCGGGAGATCAAGGACCTTAAGGCAAAGGTGAATGTGGCTGAATCTGCCGGGATGAAGTTTGATAAGGCCGAGGGAGAAAATCCACCCGCTCCTTATTCTGCCAATATTTCCAAGATCACCAGACAAACAGTGATAGATTATCAACGAGGGAAAGGAGTGAATGTCGCCCTGGAAGAAACCGCTCGGCAATTCTTGGGGCCTCATCTCGGTCAGTTAGTGCGTGACAGTGAGGACCCTATCAAAGAGGGAATCGAGCTTCTGGATAGCACGCCAGAAGGGAAAGCTTTCATAGATGCTCTGACCCAGGAAACAGTTACAAAGAGCCAAGATCTGTTGGTTGATAGAAACCTCGATTTGATCATGGAGCATTTCCCAAAGCCGTTCGACCCTGACGAGTTAGGTTTCGATGATCTGTTTGGCAACACCTATGATCGGGTTATGGAGAAGAGGCAAAAAGCAGGGACTGCCGATCCTTCCCCGACCAGGGATCCGTAGATATAACCTTTATCTTTTTTCCTTTTTGTATGTCTCCTGATTTTTCTTGTATTCCCCGGCTGGTAGTGCTGAAGAATAAAGATTAATTTTTTCCCATTTATCTTCCCGATCATATTGTCTCATCGTCCTTTTCATCTTCCAAACCCATAGTTCCGATGCCAATCCGTTCAGTTTTCTCTGATCCGGATCATCCATACTAAGGGTTTCAGATGTCCACCTTCAAACTATAAGTAGGATCCCCCCGTTCGGGTCATTTCCTGCCTGTAGCTAAAATGGAGACTCACCTCCAAATCATTAGCTTGGGTTCCACCCTCCGATCCCATGTCGTCGTGGTTCGTCGAAGCTAATGACTGAGACGAGATTTAAAAACCATAGTTCCGATCCCCTGGACGAGTCATCCGTATTACCGAATGCCGCTCGGTTCGTCCATACTTATGGTCTTGACATCACCTTCAAACCGTTTTGGACCCTTTGCTCGGTCATGGCAAGGTCAAAACTTGGCTAAGATGATGGCTCCCTCCAAACTGTTAACACGTTTCTCATTCGGTCGTCCAGAATGATTTTGCATGTTAAAAGCTAAGGTGAGACTCTCAGGAAGTTAAGGCTCCCTTTTTTTTAAAGGTGGCAACAGCCGTTTTTAGTGGTAGAATTTCCTCAAGTGTTCAACATTCCATGTTCCTGCCGGTCGGCCCTCGGTAGATTGTAGGCTGAACGTTCCTGAAGAATATTTCTTGAAGACCTGATAAGGGCCTTCCCAGTTTTGGGCCATTTTCTCACCTTCGAGAGGCTTGCTCTTTTCTCGCTTCTTTAGGACCAAATCTCCTACTTGGATTGATCAGATTTTGACATGCTTGTCAAAATATCTCCTTGTAGCCCTGCGATATTCCTCCATCCGTCTTGTTGCTAGATCCCTTCTTTTCTAGATGAAGTGCATTTCGGCCCGTAGATTATCCTCATTCCGTTCGGCATTATAATGCACCGTACGGTGTGTGGGAACTAAGACCTCTGTTGGAACCTTGGCCTGGAAACCGTAAGCGAGGGCAAACAGTGTTTCTCCTGTGGCCGTTCGGGGTGTGGTCCTATACGCCCATAGGATGTAATTCAGTTGGTCTGGCCATGATGAGGAACATTCTTCTAGCTTTTTCTTCATACCATCCATGATGGTTCGGTTCATATTTTCCACTTGGCCATTTGCCTAGGGTATGCCACCGATGCTCTCGAATGTTTGATCCCCCATTTGACCAAGTAATTCTCGAAATTCCTACTCACGAACTGCCTTCTGTTGTCAGTGACGATATGCTCGGGGAGGCCAAACCGACAAATAATGTTTTGCCAGATGAACTTCTGGCACTGGAAATCTATGATGCTAGCCAGTGGTTCGGCCTCCACCCATTTGGTGAAATAATCAATCCCAACGATGATATACTTCCATCCTCCGGGGGCAGCAGGTAAGGGACCTAGCAAGTCAATTCCCCACCTAGCAAATGGAAGGGCAATGGTCATTGGAGTGTAGAAACTAGCTAGCCGTCCGGTAACCGGTGCATATAGCTGGCAAACCTTGCACTTCCTGGTATGTGTAAAACAGTCCTGTTGGATGGTCGGCCAGTAGTACCCCTGCAAGATGATTTTCCTTGCCAGTGTCTTAGGCCCCTGATGGCTTGAACAGATACCCTCGTGAATTTCTTCCATTACTGCCGCTGCTAAACCAGGTGGAAGATACTTTAGATAAGGTCCTCCGAATGTCTTTTTGTACAACTGCCCATCCACCAGCTCGAACATGGAAGCTCTCCTCTGAATGCAGGTGATATTATACGCTGAATTTTTGTCTTCTAGGAGATGTCCGTCCTTCAGATAAGTAGTCATGTCCGTGACCCAACTGGGAACGACATAAGAAATAGCTTCCACCTGGAGGATCATGGTTGCTGGTGTCGTCAAGGTTTCCCGATGGGCATACCGTTGGATGTGAGCTGGGATCATCTGCGCCCGCTCATCAAAGGCTGCATTTTCCAACTTGGACAAGATATATCTGCCTCAACATTTTCTATTCTGGAGACCTGATCGAGCATCACATGTTCAAATTTATTAATTTGCTCCTCGACCAGTTCCTTGTATGCTTTCATTCTTTCTTTTTTTTGTTTCAGCTGTACCGTTTACCTGGTTGACCACCAGCTGACTGTCTGATCGGACCTCGAGCTGATCAGCACCCAGGGCTCTAGCATATCTTAAACCAGCAATAAGGGCCTCATATTCGGCCTCATTGTTGGTTACTTTAAAATCAAAATGAATGGAATAATATGCTTTATACCCCTTGGGTGAGGTGATCACGGCTCCGCCACCACAACCCTTTGCACTTGATGCACCATCTATGTACATCTCCCACCAGTTATCCAGCCCACTGTTGTTTGACTCAGTTTCTGAAGACCGAGCGGTGCATTCTGCTATGAAATCCGCTAAGGTCTGGCCTTTGATGGTAGGTCGAGGCTTGAAATCCACCTCGTATTGCCTGATCAGGAGTCTCCACCACCACGAGGATGTGTGTGGATTATTCCGATCTAAATAAAGTTTGCCCGATGGATCCTTATCCAGTACCTCGGATTGATCTTTTGGTAGATGAGACAGTTGGGTGTGAGCTCTTAAGTTTCATGGATGCCTTTCGAGGGTATCATCAAGTTTTCATTCACCCGGATGATGCAGAGAAAATGGCATTCGTCATCTCGGATGGCGTATTTTGCTATATTGTGATGTCGTTCGGGTTGAAGAATGCCATGGCTACCTTCCAAAGGATGTCCGGAATACTCTTCAAAGAAGTATTGGGGGTGACAATGGAGGCTTATGTAGATGACATTCTGATCAAGAGCCGAAAGAAGGAGGATCATGTCCAGGACATGGAAAAGGTGTTCGGGATAATGCAAAAGGCAAATATGAGGTTGAACCCCAAAGTTAGGGGAGGTGGTTGTGGAGTTCCCAGATTAACAAACTCTCGTGTTCCTTCCGGTGGGGGTGTTCTCTGATTCCGACGTCCCTGTCTGAATCTAGTGTTATTACGTTCTTCATACTGCAAACGGCACCCGATTGGCGTATCTCCTCTAGCTCGGGACCCAGTCGGGGTGTGGTCACTGGGAGTGTGCTGCCTGCCCCTAGACGTGTGAGTCCTTCGGTGATCTCCCCGATGGGCTCGTGAATGGTTCGAAGCCGTGGTTGTTTCTGTATCGGTGGTCTCCTCATCGAATGATTGCATCGATCGGAGTGGGGATGGGGTCGTGTACTCGGTTTCTCCTGTGTAGCTGGATCGCCCCTCGGCTTGCTCGTCTGCCATGTGGTGCATGACCTGGGCTAGATCCCGCATGACGTGGGGGTTCCTCCTCGGTGCTTCGGGGATGAAGAAGTCCCCATCAAATTGTGGGTAAGACACCCGGCTGGATTGCCCTTGGGGGGTCCGGCTCCCCGGAGTCCTGCTCCTTCCGTGTCAGTCAGAATCCTCATTGGTATGATGGGATGTGATTCTGACCATCTTTGATTATAGGTTGATTTGAAAAACTTTTTGTTCAGTTTCCCACTGACGGCACCAATGTTAAGGTTAAATCCCGCAGATCCGAAAGCCCAACACACGCTTTGGATATTAAGGATGTAGAAAATAAGTTGAGGGTCTAAGAAAATATAAAAGCTGAATAATAATCTGCTCAAAAGCCCACTTGTATTAAGCTATTCACCGATTACACAGAAAACTTCCCGAACGGTACGTCGGAGTAGTGATAATACAATAACAAGAATGAGAACTCTATTCTAGTCTCTGAGTCTCAAAATGCTAACCCTTTACTATGAGATTAGAGCCCCTATTTATACTAATAAAAGGGGGGGGGGTGATGACGTGGCTGAATATGGCTTGTTGTCGTTCTCGAGCCACTTAGATGCCCATACTCCCACTTGTTGACGCCATACCCTAGCATTAAATACCCTTTGCCACTTGTAGGCTACCCGTTCCCCGAACGGGGTGATGGTCCATGCTGAATACATGTTTGATCTGGCGCAAGTACCCTGGTTGATCCGATCCCCGTTCGGGCTAGTTGCTGGGTCTATTCTTCTTTGGATCCTTGCTGACTAATGGGCCTGGTATATTGGGCTTTTGTCCCAATATCCCAACAGCTTCTTTCAGACCAGGCTGAGCCTGCTGCAGTCGGAGGCAGCTAGGGAGCATGACGCCCTTAAGGCCAAAAGGAAGGTCGACGAGGCTCTGAAGTCGGCCCGTGAGGCCGCTCGTCGGGAAAGGGAGGCAGCTGTTGAAGAGAAGAAAAATCTTCAGGCCGCCCTTGATCTGGCTGAGAAGGAGAGGCAAGATCTTCTTGCCAAGTTGGCCATGATGGAGAAACATGGCCTCACCCTCGTCCCCGCCTCTCCTCCGGCCCCTGAGGATGGGGCTCCCTCTGGCGACGTTCTGCCCTGGAAGCTTGACATCTCCGGGTTCGAGGGGACAACACTATTTATGTCCGCCGCCCATCGTTACTGCCGTGGGGCTGTTGGGGACATTTTGGAGGAGGAGCTGCGGGCTTGGAAGAGGAAGGAGCGCCTAGGTCATGGGGTGTAGCTCGTGGAGCAAAACTTGCTCAGCCAGCAGTTCCTGCTTGATGTGGCCGATGATGGCTTTGCCAAAGGCTACAATCTTGGCGTGAAGGCCATGCTGCCCGTCCTCGCTCAGTTCAGCGGTCCGTCCCTAAACTTGTCAGACTATACGAAGGACACAGTGCTGCTGGCGGCCGTTGAGAAGCTGGAGCAGGACCAGAGGTGGGCCCAGGTTGTGGAAAGGGGTGAGATCCCTGATCCTCCGACCCCCGACATGGATTCTGATGAGGAGGGCGCCGAGCCGGAAAGCACCATGCCCCGTTCCCCCGTCCATGGCTTTCTTTGATGTATTTCCCCTTTCTTTTCAATTTGTATATTTCCGGCCAATAGAGCCGAAGAATAAACTCGCGTTTGCTCACTATTGTTCCTTGATTCCATTTTGTCCTTGCCATAATTTTTTTGCAAAGTACTCGATTTCGTGCATATAATCATTTTTCCTGGC